CTCGAAGAAGAGGTGTACATGGTACAACCTGAAGGTTTTTGCATCCAAGTCAAATTCTAAATCATTATGTTAATTAGAGAAATCTATTTATGGGCTAAAACAAGCCTCTAGGAGTTGAAATATTAATTTTGATGAAATAGTCAAATCGTTTGACCTCATCAAATGAAATGAGGGTGCTTGCGTGTTTAGAGTGCGCAACAAGATAACGTGGTCTTTATAAGCATATATTTTGATCATAGAGAATGATATCCCCTCATTGAAGTCCGTGAAAGAATGGTTACCCAAAATCTTCATGAATATCTTTTTGTCTATGGTAGACAAAAAGGAACTAGTAGAATTTAATTATTCTAGCACTAGTTTCATGTATGATAAGAAAGACTACGAGTCGCAGTCAGTATATGTTTTTAGTCTCAATGTAATAGTAGTGCTGAAAGAGTTACAAGTAAGAAACTACTATAAATTCGACAACTAGAGCCTAGTAAATTGTTGCATTCCATGCAACTTAGGTAAGCGTTTAGATACGTTAGATCCTTAAAGAAATAGGGGTAATTCCTAGCAACATTTATCCAATAATTGTTATTGTGACTGTACCGGTGCGTTTGCACAAGATAAGGAACCAAGATGCAAAGTAAGGAACTAGAAAATACCTATGTGCTATCATGTTTTTGATAACAAATAGCAAGAGGAGAAGTTGCAATAGAATGTCTTCCCATAGAGGACAATTTGGCTGGTCCATTCACCAAACCTTTGAGATGCGAGAAACATACTAGACTTTTGAGAGTTTGGGTGTTAGACGCATCGGTGATTGGCACTAGGCCAAGTGGGAGATTGTTAGTATATATGTCCTAGCGACAATCACTTTTTAGAGATATATGTACTTGATCACATTTAGTTTTATATATTTGATATATACGGTATTACACATTGATGATTAAGTATTTCGATTGTCAATATCTTATTCATAATTGTGTTCCCTTGAATTTATGTTGTCAATAAGTAAGTGTGAGCTTATATGATATAACATAAGGTCCAAAAATAACCCCAATCAATGATCATCAAGAAAGGGATATTGATGATATGCGATAAGATTGGTATGTGGACTGCATCATACTTTTAGAAAGTATAGTTGATCTCACAACTATGAGTTCCTGTAATTCATGATGGTCACAAATATTTTAGAGAATATTGGCATACCCACCGAGAAACCATTTGATAAGTTCTATTCATGTGTCTATGGAATTATCAGCGTATAGAGTAGTGTAATAGTCCTCTGACTTGAGGTCAATACGTACTACATGTGCGGAGTGATGTACTTTGACCATGACCAACGCTTGCACTCCAGTCGGGGTAGATACGGCATGCGTTGGGTGCATCACGAAGCACATGGAGTAGTAGTTGAGCCAAGAAAGGATTCATTCCTCGTAATAGATTAAGAGAGAACATTCTACTTCTCATATCTAGATGGATCATAAAGTCATTGGCCAATGCAAAGATATATATTCGTTTTGGATATCGAATATGATCGTTATGGATCATCTAGAGAGATTGAGAGATAGAGACTAAGTTGTTGGAATAGACACAATATCAAGTTCCAGACTTAGTTGAATGTTTGTTGAATGAAAGGACTGTATCACCATGAGCTCTATATTACAGGGAGTTTGAATAGTCCTCGCAAACGTCCTTACATATTAAGTTTGTCTGGTAAATCGTCTAGTGATTCTACTAAGACCTTAATTTGATTAGTGCTTAATATATAAGGCCCTATGGGTCACACAACTAGTGATTATACCTTCCGATTGAATTGTTAGAAGGAGTTAAATATTATTAATTGGATTAAATGATATTTAATTCATAATGCTGAAAATAAGATGGGTTATTTATTAATTGGATTAATATATTTAATTCATAATGTTGAAGGAGAATTCTATTTGATAGAATTAATTAAGAAAGATAAATTAGATTTATTATACTTAATTTAGATGTATTTATTATTAAGTAAAGTTGGTATTTTCTTTTGTAATTTGGAATTAAAAAGAAAATACAAAATAAAATAATAATAAGAAGAGAAGAAGTAGGGTGGCGTTAGAAGCCATCCCTAATATCTCTCTTGTTATTGTTTTATTTACTCTATTTAGTAATTTAAATAAGATGTAAATATAATTAAATAAATATGACAATTTTCTTTATAATTTAGAATTATAAGAAAATTAGAATATAAATAAATATGAAGAGATGAAGGAATGACGTGAGTCATCCTCCCCTCTAATAATTGTTTATATTATTTTATTCATTTAATTAAGTACAATAATTATTGGTTTTAGTTGGACTAGAACTCATTAATTAAGAAGACTTTCATTGTGATTGGTAAACTAGTTTAGAACTAGTATAAATACATCCACCTCCTTCATAATTAGTGACCATTTTTAAGATTCAGTATTACCAGTTTATTTCCGTGCGAAGAGATTTCCTAGGCTTTCTCTTAGGGAGATCTAACCGTTCTTTCGGAAAGGAGAAATCATGTGGATACCACATACGGTGGAGTAGGGGGGGTTAGATGTACGTAGTCTTTCCCCTGTACTAAAATACAGACACTGTTTTCGGAGGACTCATAGTGAAAATTGTGTCCAAAATTACATGCATTGATTGCTGCTTCATAACAAAGAAGTGCAAACAGTTTATTGAGCTATTTATCTTTATTGCAAATGATGGATAAAACTTATTCATAACAATAAGAGATAAATGCAATATATATGTGGCTAGATTTCATTTTTTTTTTGCTTCTTAGCCAAAGATTTCTTAACACATGAAAGAGAACAAAATTTTACTTGACATGGATCATTCTCAAGTTGTTTTATCTTTAAAAAATCTAATTGTCCATATTCATGGACATTTACATGTCTTCAAAAAATAAATTTAGTTCCAGTTATATACTGCATTTTTAATTAACCTATGTCTAATGCCTAATTAATTTTGAAATTTTGATGTTACATGCTAACTGTTTGACAACGTCCTTAAATTTATTATATACTTGCATGTTGGAGATATTCTCTATTTAAGATAAGGAACAATTGTGAAAATAAAATTTGGTGTTCAATTATTGTCTTTTTGAGCTAAGATTTCCTAATAGATAGAGGATAATTTTAATATATTTAGTTTCGCGCTATACTCAACATAATCTCTAACAGAAATCTTACAATCATAAGAAGTTACTTTTGGAAGTTACAATCTCTAACATAATATATTTAGGTTAGCGCTATATCAACAAATTTCGCGCTTTACTGTATATATTGCGGTTTTGGTAAAATAAAAAATACTCTTGATTCAAGAATTGTTACAATTATATGGGTGTAAAAAACTTCCTTTAAAAGGTCACTAAGTACAATTTTTCTTACTAAAGTAGCTATTAAAGTGTTAACATATATGCAATAAAAACGAAATGTTGAAAATTCATTTCATGTATGCCATATTAATAAGTCATGTAACTATAATTAAATATGAATTAGTGAAGTATACATATGCAAACCAATTTAGAGTTACTATAATTAAATATGAATAAATACTCATTTTGCAAGAGTGAACTTATTTTTGATAATGTCAAATCACTTTATAATCGATCTATTATCCCTTGCAACGCACGGGTAAAAGACTAGTTATTTTATTCATTTAATTAAGTACAATAATTATTGGTCCTAGTTGGACTAGAACTCATTAATTAAGAAGACTTTCATTGTGATTGGTAAACTAGTTTAGAACTAGTATAAATACATCAACCTCCTTCATAATTAGTGACCAGTTTTAAGATTCAGTATTACCAAATTATTTCCCCGCGAAGAGATTTCCTAGTCTTTCTCTTAGGGAGATCTAACCGTTCTTTCGGAAAGGAGAAATCACGTGGATACCAAAGGTCAAGGATTATCACCGCTAGGCTGGGAGATCTGTAAGTTCTAACTCAGATCTGTTATTATTATCATATTCGTTATTTTGTCATAATCAGGGAAGATCTGTTTGGGAAAATTTTAAACTTCCGCTGTCGTACTTTCGAGGTACGTTACATCAATTTCCTAACAGTAATATCTAGTCATGGACCATTATTGGCGGACGGTGTATAAAGTTGGGATTATACAAAAATAATCAATAGTTAGGATTATTGTTAGTAGACCGGCAATAGTTGGGATTATTATTTTCAATTTTTCCTTTTAAAGTTAGTAATAGTATGTTTTTTTTTGCAAAACTGGATCTTCGTAATTTGATTTGCTATGATTTGAAACCACAATGCAGTTTGTTTTTGATGCAGTACCTTTTCTATAGGTGTACAATATGGTCTATGGTTGTAGTTTATATATTTTTACGGAGAACTGTCAAATAAGCCCTCGAACTTTCATAAAAAGTGCAAAGAAGTCTTTTTACATAAGGCTTTGTCCGGCTGTCGCCATTTGGGGTGGTTTCCAATGAAACTTTTTGAGCATCTTCTTCATTAAGTCTAGTTTACCCATACTAAATTTCAGATAAAAATTCAATCGAAAAGGCAGTCAAATGAGTTTCTGAAATATACTGTGCTGCCTAACTGCGCAGTTATCTTCAAAAATTCATTTGACTGCCTTCCTCATTGAAATTTTAGCTTAAATTTGGTATGACTAACTAGACTTAATGAAGAAGATGCTCAAAAAATGTCATCAAAAAAATCCACTCGAAACCACCTCAAATGGCGACAGCCGAACAGAGTCTCCTACAAAATGATTTATTTGCACTTTTTATGAAAGTTTAAGAGCTTATTTGGTAGTTCTCCCTATATTTTTATGATATTCTCTAGTCTGTTTCTTAAGTTGCAGCCTGCAAGAGTTCAAGACTACAAATACAGTCCACTAGTTTGTAGTGTGCACTAGGGAAGTAAACATTTATATGCTAATAATGATATATTAATTAAACATTTACTACGCAAATTTGCACATCAAATTATTGTTCGAAACAAAGTCTATGATATTATGTCCTTTTAAAAACTGGGTCAATTAGGGTCAAAATCGGACTGGATCGGAAAAGTTAGGTCCGGATCGGTCTGGACCGGTTAGTAATAGGTCCCGGTCTCCGGTCCTCATAAATTTAAGATTCCGGTTCCGATCCTAACCGGTTCTGGTGCGGTTTTGGACCGGTGAACACCCCTAATCCTATTAGTGACAAGAATCAGTTAACTTTATGGTCAATCAAACATCGTAAACCGCGTGGGAACCTTTAAGTGGGACGGAGGGAGTATTAGGCTAGTCCCATTTTTGACAATTTCAGGACATGTTTATTAATAGATAGATTTTTCAATTTTTCATGAAAATTGGAAAACTAGAAAAAGAAAAAGAAAAAACGTGTTTACCAAAAAAAATTGCTGGAAAACTGGAAAAATATAAACAGAAAATTGTGTTTACCAAATCGTGTTCCAAAACCATAAAAATGAGATTTGTCTATGTTTTCCGTAATGAATAAGAGAAGTGACTTTTATTAGTTTTCCAAATTTGGAAAAGGTGAATGATGCAGTGATGCTGCAATGGATATGCATACTTACGCCTGGTGTTGGATATGGTCCAACTCCGGTGTCAGTTCCAGTCTGTTATAGTCAACGGCCTAACGGTTTCTATCTGGTCCAGTCAATGACCCGACAGTTCGGTACGGTACGGTCATTGACCCCGGTGGTCCATGTCCGGTCCGGTCGACAACCGAGCAATCCCGGTCCAGTCCAGACGATGACCCGACGGTCCTGGTCCAGTCGACGACCTAACGGTCCTTGTACGGTACGATCCACGCCCCGGTGGCCCTTGTCTGATCCAGTTCGGTCCCAGACCCGACGGCTCCTGTCTGGTCCGGTCCAGGATCCAACGGTCCCCGTCCAGTCCGTTCGATGACCCGACGGTCCCTGTCTAGTCCATCCATGACCATGCAGTACTTGTTCGGTCCAATCGATGGTCGATTGGTCGAGTAGTCCTGGTCCAATCCGGTTAATCAACGACTCAGCGGTCCCGATCTGGTCCGCTCAATGAAACGGTGGTCCTACTCCTGTCTAGTCAACCACCTGGTGGTCCCTGTCTTGTACGATCAATGACCTGGTGGTCCCCATCCTATCTGTCAAATGACCCAACAGTCTGTATTCGATCCGATCGACAACCGGGCGGTCCCGAACCAGTCCTGTAAATGACCCGGTGGTCTAAGTTTGGGCCAGTCAATGACCTGATGGTTCGGTCTCGAGTTTGCTTAGGGTTCTGATGAGTTAGAGCCCTTGGATAGGATTCTAAACATTGATTCAGTCTCTCTGTTTGACCATCTGTTTCAGGGTGATAGCTAGAGGTGTAATTGAGGGTAGACCCCAATAATTTGAAAAGGTCCTTCCAGAATGCACTAGCGAACACCGTTCCTCTATCTGTAAGTATACTAAGGGGTTGCCCATGCAATTTGAAAATTGTGTCCAAGAAAACCCTGGCTACTGTATGGGCTGTAAATGGGTGAGATAGGGGTATGAAGTGGCCAAATTTAGTCAACCTATCTACCACCACCAAAATCACATCTTTCCCATGTGATTTAGGTAGTCCCTCTATAAGGTACGTGCTAATGTGGCTCCATGCTTGGTCAGGTATAGGTAGGGGTTGTAGTAAACCCGGGTAGGGCCCTTTGTGAGGCTTGGTAATAGCACAAACTTCACACTCTTTCACCCATTGAGTAATATGTGATGTCATTTTTGGCGAAAAGAAATTCTTCTTAACCCTGGTAAGAGTAGCCTGTATACCTGAGTGCCCTCCTACTGAGGAGGCATGTAACTCCCTGAATATAATATGCCTCAGTCCAGATGAGTTTCCCACCACCACTATGCCCTTGTGCCTCAAAATATCTCCTATTACTTCAAACTCTGGGTGAATATCTTGGTCTTTACCCTTATTTTTAATCACCTCGGTGAGGTAAGGATCATGTACATAGTTGTCCTTGATCTGCTGCACCCAGGTTGGTTGTACCCTAGTAATTCCCCAACATTCTTGTGTAGCTATTTCTTTCCTAGAGAGAGCATCGGCCACTTTGTTTTCAACTCCTCTTTTGTAATAAATCTCATAGTCAAGTCCCAAAAACTTAGTGATCCACTTTTGTTGTAAGGGGGTAGAAATCCTCTGATGTAGGAGGTGTTTAAGAGACTGCTGATCAATTTTAATAACAAATTTACTCCCTTGAATGTAATGTTTCCACTTCTGAATAGCCAAAAGCACTGCCATGAATTCCTTTTCATATACAGATAATCCCAAGTGTTGGGGAGCTAGTTTCTTGCTTAGATAAGCAAAGGGTCTTCCCATTTGCATGAGGACTGCCCCAATTCCTTCCTCGCAAGCATCTGTCTCTATAGTGAAGGGTTGAATGAAATTTGGCAGGGCCAATACTGGGGTGGTAGTCATGGCAATTTTAAGCTCCTTAAAGGCTTGTTCAGTGCGCAGTATCTCCCAAGTGAAAATCCCCCTTCTTAAGTAGTACAATGAGTGGCCTGCTAATTATACCATATCCTATTACAAACTTCCTATAATAACCTGTAAGACCTAAGAATGCTCTTAAATCTTTAGAGTTCTTAGTGGTAAGCCAGCTAACCATGGTTTCAACCTTCTCAGGGTCAGTTGATACTCCCTCTCTATTAATAGTGTGGCCCAAGTATGAGATTGATTCCTGACCAAAATGCCATTTGCTCCTTTTCACATATAGCTGATTCTCCCTTAGCAGTAAGAGGATTGCCATCAGATGTTGTATATATTGCTCCCAATCAGTGTTGTAAACTAAGATATCATCAAAAAACCAACACAAATTTCCTAAGTAGCTTCTTAAATACCCGGTTCATCAAAGATTGAAAGGTGGTTGGGGCATTGCACAACCCAAAGGGCATTACCAGGAACTCATAATGGCCGTTATGAGTTCTAAAAGCTGTGAGATGTCTATGTTCAGGTGCCATTAGAACTTGGAAATAACCCGAACGCAAATCAATCTTTGAACAAAATTGTGCCCCTCTTAACTCATCCAACAAATCATCAATCACTGGTGTGGGGTAATCATGCTTAATGGTAAGACTATTTAAATACCTATAATCCACACACATCCTGCATGTTCCATCCTTCTTTTTCACCAATAATACCGGGGAAGAAAAGGAGCTTTTGCTTGGTTGGATTTCACCGGATCTCATCAACTCTTCCACTATTTTCTCAATCTCATCTTTCTGGGAATGGGAAGCTCTATACGGGTATTGTTGCTTAGGAACACTTCCTGGATTTAATAATATGTGGTGTTCAACTACTCTGGAAGGGGGTAGTGATTTGGGTTCTTCAAAAACATCCTCAAATTCTCTTAATAGATTCTCCAATTCCACAGATTCTCCAGCATTAGTGTTTGTTACCTTCACCCGGTATACCTCCTCGATTGGGTTAGGAAACTCTTCGCATATCATCTTATAGAGGCTGTGGTAGGAGATAACCTTACACTTATCATCACATTGAATATGAATTTTGTGGTCCTCATAGGTGACAGTAACCACCATTTTGTTGTAATCTGATTCAATAGGAGTTAATGCGCTCAACCAGTTCCCTCCTAATATTAAATCAAAATCAGTAGATGGCAGGACCTTGAAGTCATAATTGAATTGATGTTGCTGCATATTCCACTGAAATTTAGTCACCATTGCATTGCTCTCCAATTTTTATCCATTGGCTATTGTTACATGTACAAGTTTGACAGGTTCCTTCACACACCCTAATATGTGTGAAGCCTTGGAGCTGATGAAGCTTGATGAAGCTCCGGAGTCAATTAGGATGTTTATTTTATGTTTACCCACCTGCCCCGGGAGCATCATGGTTGTGGGTCTTTGTTTACCCTGAGCAGCCCCAATGGTTACCAATAAAACATCTTCCACATCATCTATTTTCAGTTCTACTTCCTGAGACAATTCCTCTGTTCCTTCTTCTTCAGCTATGATGAGGTATGCCTGTCTATGTTTACATCTGTGACCTGGGGTGAAGACTTCATCACAGTTATAACAAAGTCCCTTCTCTCTTCTGGATGCCATCTCTTTTTGGGTAAGTAATTTAAAAGGTAGATTATTTGGTAAAGGGTTCTACTTGCTCCAAGTATGACCTCCCTCCTTCCTGGATTGGATAATGGGTGGGAGCTGGGATCTGCTTGTTCCTTTTATTCTTTTAGTCAAAGCTTCAATTGTCTTCAATTGATTTCTCACTAATTCAATAGTAGAATCTAGTGTAGCTAGACTGAACATTCTTACAAATGATTTCAACTCCTCACTAAGGCCACTGATAAAACTGGAAATAAAATATGGCTCACTGAATGCTCTTTCGTGCATCATTAACAAGCAAGTTTTTAGTTCATCAACCCTTTATACATATGCTTCAAAATCAGATTCCATTCTTAATTTACTGAACTCTTCAATAACCACATATTTCCTTAACCCTTCAAACCTTGTAGAGAGTAGAGACCACCCCCACAAATTGTTCCCAGGCTAATTTGGATAAATCATTTTCTAAGTGCTGGAACCAGGTTGAAGCCTTCCCTTCAAAATGCATGGTAGCTAAAACTACTCTCTGTTCGGGTAAAATTTGTGGCATAAGTCTAAAATATCCTTGACACTTAACAGCCCAGGCTCTAGGTTGTGTTCCATCAAACCTGAGAAAATCCAGATTCAGAATTGGAGCATGTGGATGATAAGTGACCGAAGTATCATGTTGCTTACCAATTGTTATCATTTGCTCCTTGTGCATATTCATTGGTGTTTTGACAAATGGAGGAGGTCCTAGAATGGATCCGAACTCAGATGAAAATGCTTCTCCTACACCTGGGTGAGGTATCTCAAGATTGGGCCGACTTTCTATGGTGTCCAGTCTTATCTGAATCTGGCTGAATTGTTTGAGGATTTCCATCTGAACTTCCTGTTGTTTCTGCTGTATTTCATCGTGTTTTTGATCAGTTGCCTCTCTTCTCAGCACCTCGGCCATGATCGTTTGTTCCAGTTTCTTTTGCCCCTCCAAGCAATCCTTCAAATGTGTTCCCTCAGCCATCTGCCTGGATCACGTAGGCTCTGATACCAAATGTGATGATCACAATTATCTTTCCTGATATTTCAGAAAAGTTTTACTGTGCTCCAATCATTTGGGAATGATCGGGTAACCAGATATGGCAGAAAGAACAGAGAAGAAGGGAATCGAGAGAGAAAAATATGAGAGAGAGATTTTGTTATAATATTTTTGTTGTATTCTCCCATAATGGACTGACAGTATTAATAAGATAAGGGTGGGGTCCCCTTGGATAACAACCCCAGCATGACATACGTATTATCTAAAATAAAATTACTCATTATCTTTCCTGTTTGGGACGTTCCAAAAAATTTTGCCACTTTCCCTTTTAATCAATTATTTTGTGGTTTCTGTTATTTCTCTCTCCTCTGCACAAACCTCAACCACACAATTTTTACTTTATTATTCTCCGTGCCAGTCAACTTTGTCAAAGTTTTAAGGGACGAAGGTAGTACATTATATCTTACTAGTATAATTTTAGAAGTCTTCCGTTTTAAATAATTGTGTAGATCCCACTCATCTTCCTTTTAACCAGCTGTCCTCACCAAATACGACAAAATCTTAATCTTAAACTAAAAATAAAAAAAACAAAACATTAATACCTTAAATATACATCATAAATTAAAATCAATGAAAAAGGTGGTTAAGAAAAAAGGAGAAAGAAATTAAAAACAAAGAACTATGTAAAAAAAGCAAAAAGAAAAAGTCAGAGACGTAAGAGAGCATAAAAAAAGTCAGAGACCAAATAGAGCATGTGCGTACTGGACTCAGCTGGAAGGGAAAGAATTAAAAAGAGCGTATGGACATATGAACTACAAGTCTACAACCATGCAAATCGGAAACAATTACAAAAAAATCATGATGTACGGTGAGAACCGTATATCCGGGTGTATGGTATAATTTGCGGTATAACCGTATGTATGTTTTAAGCATATCAAATTAGATTAGATTTAAAGAATCATCAGATTTTAATAATGGGAGAATTTGACTTTGCACCCCACTTTTTGAGTAATATTGGACTTTGCACCCCGTTTTGAAAAAACTTTGACTTTGCACCTCATCATATAACATTTTGTGAAGAAAAAATTTCTAAATGGGGTACAAAGTCAAAGAAGTTCTAAGTGAAATGGGGTGCAAAATCAAAGTTTTTTGAAAATAGGTTGCAAAGTCCAATATCAACCAAAAGTAGGGTGCAAAGTCAAATTCCCCCGTGTAATAATGGTAAAATATACATAAAGCGTATATTTAACAAACCAAACTAGACAAGACTATAGTTAAGCAGACGAGATCAAACCAGATCAAGTCAGACCAGACTACAAAATTAAAATCCAATTAAAAACATTCGTAATATTGATGTGATCTAGTCTAGTCTTTTTAAGTTTGTTCTGCTCTTTTCTTAATTGGCCCGGTGTGGTAGATGTCTGTTGTGTACTTTATAACTATCCAAATTTGGTTGGGACTAGATCTAGTCAAATTAAAAATATCCAAAGTGGAATATTTTTAATTGGAGTAAATTTTCTAATTTGGTTTATTCTGGATTGATTTATTGGTATAGAGTGAAACTGAAATGAACCTCATTACAACATTCTTGTATTTTAAAATTCATATAAGTGATATGGAATACTCATGCTTGGTCGGAACCAGCATATCAAATTAACTATTCAGGTAGAATATATAATCCACTAAATAATTAATTATACGCTCCGTAAAAAAATAATGTTTATTTTTATGAAATATGCTTGTTGCATATTGACACGATATGGAATAGTGTTTAAATAATGTTACATCAATATATCTATTATGTAACATTTCTTTATTCAATGTAACCCGTTGAAAATATGTTACCTATTTTATGATTCATACACTTATGCCACATTTATAAATAAGTGTTACAAAATTTCAACCTTAACTGAAATATGCAACAAAAATAAAAAATGTTGCAAGTGCAGTGTTACAAAATCCCTATTTTGTTGTAGGGCTTATAATTTCTTTTTAATAGTCATTAATACATAAATACATTGGACAAATATAAAAAAACAATGATCAAATTATAATTTTCAATTTCCAAAGACATAAAACTTTTTATTGAATCTCTAAAAAGTCTAAGCATTCTGGTCTTAATTCCAGTCTACTCCAACTTAGTAGAGAATAGGTCTAGTACGTGAGTTACTATTCTCTATGTTGGATCTAGGATGTTTTTACTTGGATCGTAATTTCTCTCAGACCAGATCAGATCAGTTCAGACTTGGATAGACGGATAGTTATAAAAATACAAAGAAACCAGGCCAGACCAGACCAAACCAGCAAATTACAGTCCAAGTAAAAACATCCCTAGTATAGTCTAGTCTGAGACTGAAACAACTTCAAGTGAAAATATCTATTATACCATACAAGATTAAACATAATCAATAAACTTTTAAGTGCAATAAATTTATACAGAGTATAATTTTTAATATATTATACTTTGATTTTAAATGACCAGATTGATCAATTTTCTAAATTAAAGTAAGTGTATTTATATAATAGAAATTGTTCTAAATAGGAGCAAAAACATTTTGAAATTCCAAATAGGAGTATGATGTTTTTTATTCCCTGAATAGAAGTAATCTGGCAAGTTTGAAAAAAATGCCATGTTTTAAAGCCTAGTAATGCCAAACTTGGCAGATATAAACTCCTATTCAAGGAATAAAAAACATGATAGTCCTATTTTGGAATTTCAAAATTTTTTTACTCCTATTTAGGGAATTCTCTCTTTATATAATACTTTTTAAATATGATCTAGTTTTATATAGTAAAATCCCGGTAGGAAAATAAAGTAAGGTTAATTGAATATATTCATGCACTATGCATATTTAAACATGATCAAAAGTTATTTATGATTATTTATATTTAATATTTAAAATATTATATAAGTGAAATTATATTCATCTAACATTGTAAAATATAAAACTACTTAAACAAAAATCAATATATTAATTATAAAGCACAAATTGAAATTTGGAGCCCGTTTGGTCATACCGAAATTGGCTTAATCGGTTGAGTTTGCAAAAATTGATGAAGTTTTTTGCTGAAGTGGTTGATTTGGCTGAATGTATTGATTTCAAAAAAAAAAAAAATGAAGTGTTTTATTATTTAAATAAAAAAAGTTTATATGAAAAATTTGCTAAAGTGATCATTTACAATAATTTCAGTCAATTCATCTAGAAAAGTAAATTCATCCTTACTTGTTTTCATTATTATAATATTATGCGTAGTATATCAATTACAACTTGTTGGTGAAAAAATGAATGACAACTAACATTTAATGATAAGTCGAAAATAAAGTCACCAAACATGTAACTTATATGTGGTATGTCTACAAATTTTAAATTGTTTTCATTACTAATCGCAATTGCATGCCAGAGGATGAGGTTTGAGAAATTTTCGATTGGTCTATAAATTTGGTTACATATGCAACAAAAGAAATATTCCGTAGATAAAACTACTTCCTCCGGCAAACACACATAATCATGATCTATGGTGCACCGATACTCTAGCCCGATGCCGTATCCACGTATCCGATATCGATACTCACAGATACACGTCATGTATATAATAGGATCGTTTCCGTTATTTAATAAAAGTATCAAATTTTATTAAAAATACTCCTGATACACGTATCCGTGAATCGATACGCGTATCTAACATATAAACATGATTTCATAAGCGACGTGATGAAAATATAGTAGCCGCCCAGGCGACCACAAGATGTGGAACATCGATGAAGATGAGCTTTAATTAAAACCAATAATTTTGTTAAAGCACTTAGATGTAAATGCAAATAGTGAATCGAATATTATTTAAATTTAAATATTAATATCAATACTTTAGTTTTTTTAGTCTAACTTTTGAAATTTTATTACATTTTTAAATTTTTGGTACTATTATTATTTAATTTATGAGCCTATGTATTATATATATTTACATATTATACCCTATATTATTATTTATAAATATACCCATGTACATGTATCCTATACATTTTGAACTTGTAATATCCGTACCCGTATTCGCGCATCAGCGTATTTGTGTATCCATATCCGTGTAACATAAATCATGATCACATTTTACTTAACATAGACAAACCAGACTTTAGAATCACCACAAAAGTCATCACATGTGAATGAACATAGGCAAACACACAATCATGCTCACAATTGACTTATCATAAGTAAACCGCACTTCACAACCATTACAAAAGTCATCAGAGGTGAATGAACATAGGCAAACACACATAATCATGATCACATGTTACATATTCTAGGCCAACACACGTTAGATTAATCACAACTTCATCATAGGCAAACACACTTAATCATGACCACAAGTTACATATCCTAGGCTAACACACCTAGATTAATCACAAACTCATCGCAAGTAACTCAACATATGCAATCACACATAATCATGATCAAAGGTTACACATTATAGGCTAACACACCTCACATTAATCACATGTTCATCACATGTGACTCAACATAGGCAAAAAAACATAGGCAAACACATAAAATCATGGTCACATGTTACATATCCTAGGCAACCATTGTTGGGTGTGTCTCGGAAAAACAAAGAAATATTAATTAATAAAAATAATTAATTAATTAAATAGCCAAAGAAAATCAGAAAAGAGATGGGACAGAGTTTAGCCAGAGCTCGTGCTACGCACGATGTCCTTAAAACGTATTCGTCGCCTCCCATGGTGCTAGGAGTGTTGCAACGACCGTTTCCCAGGATACGGTGGCTAACGAACTAACGTTTGAGCACAAAAATGAGAGTTCCGGTGAACAAGAACAAAGTAGAACACTCAGGAATTTTTTCAGAGTAGCTGGAAGTGTTTTAGAGCTCAAAATACGTGCAGATAGTGTATGATTGCATGTGTTGTTGCAAAGCACCCGCCAGATATTTATAGGAGAATTTGTTGTGTGTTAAATGGGGTGTTAATGGAGCTGAACGTTGGACATCAATGACCAGTCCATTGGGCATTGAATCGTCCATTTAACGCTGCATTAAAAGACAAGAACGTTGGGCATTTTATTGCTGTAACGGCTTGAAGCAGTTCTGGTGCGCGACCAGAATACCTCCATCAGAGTTGGAGCAACTCTGATGCTACAAGAATACACCCATCAGAGTTGAGCAACTCTGATGCGAAGCCAGCAGAGGACCCCCACCAGAGTTGGAGCATCTCTGGTACGAAGCCACCAGAGTT